TGATGAAATGTGAAAACACTGCTTTTTTACGTTATTTTTCATTTTTCAACTTTGAACGCGTATTACAGCAAAACGGATAAGAGCACAGAAATGTATCTATACTTGCTGGATTCCCCAAACATTCAGCTTTCATATGCATATTTGGATTCATTCTATCTATTATAGTTTTCGAGTAAATAAGTTTAATAAATTTATAAAGCATACGTTTCAATAACATTTTCACAGAATTTATCTACTCGAAATAAATTTAAAAAAAAAATAATAATAATAATAAATTTGTGGGAGTGTATAAAAATGTAACTCAAACAGTGCACAACATAACATCTGTATTTATGTGCGCGGTATTCAGCATCTCGTTGCAAACAGTAACCAGTGAAAAACGTGACACATACGGAAATCTAAATAATATATTACGTAATATTGTACATGAAAAATGTTTTAAACATAATTTTCGGTGCACGGAAAAGCGCATATTTTTCATAGCAGGTCGTTAGAAATGTTTTATTTTATTGTGGTAATGTTCGTTTTCTTTGAGAGAAATTATTTTAAGTAAACATCTGCTTCAGTCCACAAATAAAAACGTAGACAAATTATGAAAATCAAATTAATGGAAACATAAACATTTAGTCTGGATCTAATCAGAGGGAAAATCTTAAAAGAATTACCAAGGAAGGGATAATTTTCCTAAGAATTTGATACTTTCCCTCTTAATGGAAATTGGCTTAAATCATCCTAAAACGTAAAACACAATTGATTTCGCGAAGCTGTTTTTGCATCTTTCTGTTTGCTTGTAAAATTATTTGCGAAACTCTAGCATTGTTTTAGCAATACAAACGTAGCTGAGTAGAAATAGTAACATCAGCAAATCGTATTTAATTGCAATTCCATTATTATATACCCAATTCCATAGTCATTACCGAAATATATTTTAAAATTATAAATATTAACAAATATTGAAATGCAAATATTTATTATCACTGCATATATTTTGAAATACTGAAATAATTATGCACTTACAATAATCGAATACTACAATTTTCAATTTAATAATTAATATTAATGAGGGCTTCCATTCAAGCCAGCAATTACAACAATTCCTGTTACGTGTGTGGTTTAGTAATTATATGCGAAAACAAATTATTTTAGGATTTACGTAATACTAATCATTTATTAGATAATCAAATGAGGAACTGTACATTCTAGAGTAATTTTAATTACAGGAATTCAGAATCTGTCATTTTCAGTACACGCTCTGCTGCATGAAACAATACTCTTTCATATTGTGTTTGTTACAGGAATTACAATGAAAATATAATTTGCCGGTTGTCGTTGACGTGAAAACGATCGTTAAGAGTTATTTTTATAGAATAATAAATTACAGCTAAAATTGAGTGATGATGGTTTTTCTTACTAATTTTTGTAGATATCTCACATAGTTTATTGCGAAGGTAATTGGAAGATACGGTTATATACAAGGTTGAAACTCGTATTTCATAAGTAAATCTTTAGGAGCTTAGTTCTTAAGACCTTACCTCGATTCCTCTCCAAATTATCTGTACACTAAGCCCTGGCACACACACACAAAAATAGATCTAATTCAAGTGAAAGTCATCCCTTACAAATGTTTGGTTAAAGACCATTAGAATTGATCGCTGTGAAGAGTTTCAGCCCCCATTTTGTACTGCGACTACTTGTGCAAAATAAATCTCAAAGACTATTTTATTTACGTTATTTCCCCAAGAAACGAACAAACTCCATTCCAAACACATTGACTAAACTGCAAACTGTTGTGAAATATTAAGTAGCCAGTACATGGCTTTTCCTTAAAGCGTTTTTTTTTGCTTTGTTTTCAATCACTTCTCGACGCTATGTGATTCAAAGCGCAATTACGTAAATTTGAATAGCATTATTAATCCTGGCGATAATAGGGGTAGAAATTTTTTAAAAAAATTTATAACTGAAAAAATTACGTCAAACAACAGATTTAAATAACGAGGATATGATGAAATGGAACGCATCGTCGAATGAAATAAACATTTTTGTCCTACCGTTGAAAAGTCCTTTCGCTCGTTATACTGATACCAATATGGTGTATTTTTTTTTTGTTGCTTTTGCGTTCACATGCGCATTTTTAATATCAAATTTCGAGTATTTGTTTCAATCCGCATAGTTATTTTTGTTGTCTTCTCGTTTCTATACAAAACGAAATTGAAATATCGTTCGTGTTTATTTATTTTCTATTTTTTGTTGCAAGCGAGTTTTCCTTGCTTACCGTGCGTTCTTTTGTATACGAATTAAACGCCACTTCAATTATGTTTAACATTAATTACTTTGCATTCACTTCAAAGAATTTCATGTCTTTTGAGAGTGAAAAACTATTGAAGTTCCTTGTTCAGAGTTAAAACACTGGCTAATTAAATGCGCGCAAGTACTTTCTTCGCGTATGTATATACATATATATTTTTTGTTTTGTTTGCCCTTATTTGTATGCCGTTTCTGTGGTTCCTGACCTATTAGAAAAGTAATTTATGTGAGTACGTACCACAGCAGTGCGAGGGATTTCATTTGAGTTTCACCAATTAACTGGATTTATGTTGCAATTACCGGACTGCTTGTTTTCCTATCGCAAACACTATCATGAAATATTGTCCAAAATCATAATTTCATTATCGCTAATTGCGAATTCGTAATTACGTGCAGCATTCCAAAGGTGGATACCTAGTCAAGATCAATTGACATTTCGCAATTTCTCATAAATTACCCTTATAATACTTACTGATCTAATGAATTAAATAATAATTAATTGTAATAGGATTTGTGCAAATTTAAATTCAAGATCTTCAATATGTTAGAAACTGATGTAAAAAAATGAAAGTGTAAGTTTTTTTGAGTCAAGAATATTTCTTTATAGATAATCCAATTTTCGAAAGTATTGATGACACATCAATGTCTCGCAATGTATTGGAAATGTAAATGCGTTCTTGGAATCGAGAGGGTGTTTCATAAGAGGAACCATAACGTGATTTGTATTCTATTTTGGAGTTGACCCCTATTCTTATTCATTTGTCCGAATCCCCGGAGATGGCACGCATGTCACCAATACATTCGTCATATACTTTGGCCTGTATATTCCCACTTTCTTTTTACGTCAAGACGAATGGTCGTGAAAGATGTTGCGGATCGTGGAAACTTTTTTATTCCTTTCATATTTATGAAATAATTTGGTCGGTCTCGAAAGTTCAAAATACGCATAAGAATTATAAATCAGTGTACCTGAGTCTTTATGAATTACACGAGATTCAATTATGCTTCGCAAGCAAGAAGTGCGTAATTATAATTCCGTTACTTTTGGGGTTTCCTTAATTGCATATCATTTCCATTTGAACGCACGTCAGGAGCAGAGGAAGTAATGAACCGCGGGGCGTAATTGCGTAGCAATCTTTTATAAAGACATAATCCTTGCGGGCAAGAATCCTTTCTCAAACTTGTTTCATAGCCTTTCAGGAAGTTGTTGTTGATATTGTTGTTGTTTCAGGGCCAAATATTAAGAACACGATCGCAATCCTGAACTGTTTGCTGGCCAGACAGTTGTGCTTTGAGGACGCCTCCTGCGCAGCCATCCTGGAAATCATCCCCAGGGTTTGCGGACCAGAGTTGGGTGAGTTTTTTATTTTAGTTTTTTTCTGCATTCTATGGCACGTTTCAATTCGCAAATCCGCGAATTATACGGTTTTAAACGCACGCCGCCGTATTCAAATGACTTTTCGAATTACGGAATTGGAGCGATTTTTGCATTCACGTTTCAAACCACCACCATTCACAACGGTCGTCGACCAAACCCCTCCGTTCTTTACCCATTCCCGTCCTACGGTGTCGCGGGTTAGGTAGGACATTAAAGCCACAAGCCCCATCTAACCCCCTCGCAACTTCACTCCCCGGAATGGGAATAATAAAATCATGCCGCATAATCTATTAAATCAGGAAAATGGAGCAGAACGCATTAGTGTTTAATTTTTATCAGATATGATGGACGATAAGTAGTGAATGGTCGAGATTTATATCGATTTCACCTCCTTTATGTCCTCTGCGTCGCGTCGTGTTTACGTAATTTCATTTATATATTTCTTAATTTTATTCGCAGAAGCGAATTCACACAAACATTTACTTTTACTACAACGTGCACCTTAATTACACTAAACTAAATAATTCACGTGCCACATTCATAGTCCTAAACAGTAAGCTTAATGAACAGAGGAAAAAAAAACACGAAATGTCTTCCATTTATCCATCAACGGAAATCGATTATTCAACAAGGTTGTGCGTTCAAGGC